CTCCATACCTTTTGTGGACATTTGATCCACCAAAATTTTGATGGAAATGTCATTATGGAACTACAAACAGAACAAATTAGACAGATATAAAATGCACAAAAGGAAGGAAATCTTACTGTGAAATCTTGAATGTGAGATGCAATGGAAGCCTTGATGCCCTGGATCTCCTTCTCGTACTTCTTGGCCTTCCAAAATCGCTTACATTTTGGTTTCTTTTCAAGTGATATGAGTCTGGTAGTAATTGGCTCGAGATTCCTATGAAATAGAGAGAAATGCATTAATTGAAGGCTGAAATCTACTACATATCACGCACTCTTTCAACTTGTCCAAGCGTTGTTTCAAATTGTCACTACATCCCACTGTGTCAATATCTGTCAATTGCTCGAGCCTTTTGGCCAGGTCCGGTAGATCAGCCATGTTTCCCTTCATCGTCTACAAGAGTATTTTAGACAATATTGATATTCTCACTGACATCTATTTACGCACCGAAACCATTTCGGCTAGTGCGACAACACCGGTGATTGCACCCTCGAGTCCTGGAACAGGATTGCCTGCGGCAGCTGCTTGAGCAACCCTGAGCATGGGTAGAATGTTGTCAAGGATGTTCATTGTAATCTGTCGAGAGGATGTGGAACTGGGTGTAGATGGTAGTAGCGACAAAGAGGCGGAAGGCGACGCAGTGCCAGCTGTATTGCTGCATGTTGACCAGGATCTCGGAACCAGTTCCTTGACAGCTCGAATGTTCTTGTTATCAATCATTATAGGTACTCCTTTAATACTTTTGATCGAATTTCGTAGACTCGGAGTCTAGAAGAATTCTCGAACTCGCAGGGGCATCTCATATTCAGGCACCCTGCGTGGCCCTTTTTTGCAATTGTGTAAAGTCGCAACCGGTGTACTCGCAGAGACCATGAGGAGTTCATAAGAGTGTGATCGATCTGCCATACAGCCCTAACTCCGATCAATTGCCTCCTCGGATGCGTTGCGCCGTCCTGGTGGACCAGGCCGTGGGGACCGAGATGTGGCGCCCCGTTATCTTACCAGCGACGCAACACCACAGGCACGCAGAGCCCATGCGGCTAAAACTTAATGCTGCTCCAGTCTGCACGATATAGCGACGCAGAGCCGCACTCGCAGCCTCCGCCGATGACTAACCTCGAGGCGGGATCGCGAGGTGCGTGTGCCTCTATTACTCTACTCAACGCTGACTACATACCTTGCGATCGCAGCCCCGGCAGCACGCCCATCTCTGTCGACATATGTGTGCCACCCCTTCCCTCACCTAGTCGTTCTCCCCCACCCCGCCTCCACCTCCGCTCGCAGAACCAACGCTAACAGCACCTCTCTTTCCACTCGTGCTCCGGAGGAACACCAACGCCTGAATGCCCACCTCCGCGCGCACCCGTATCATCCCGGACCGACACGCTTTGAGCCCTCGCCCACCGTCTTTCCTCAAGCGCCCGCGCCCGCCAGCGTCGCGGGTGGCACGCGCTGACGTCGGCGTTGTGGACTTGAAGATGCGCGCCACATCCTGCGCCCACCTTCCCTCTACTTCCCGCCGGTATCGCCGGTGTGGGCTTGACGGCATGGGTGCGGTTGCCTACACGTTCTGCGCCGCGTGCGTTTTTTTGCCACCCGCGCGTACCGTGGATGTGGGCTTGTGCCCGCTTCGTTATTTTGTTCCCCACGGCCGAGCAGACGTGGATTTCGTGCTCTCCCTCGGCACACTTTGCTCGGAGCGCGCTCACCAACGCGCCCCGGACCTCTCGCGTCTCCTTCCTCTCAGGCTGTAGGACGGCCTCATCCCAGCTGCGCTCGACTCGCACGTCCCTTCGCCCACCGACGAGCTGCTACCCCCTGCGGCTGTGTGTGCGTTTTCGCCCCACCGACATCGCTCCGCAGGGTTCGCACCTCGCCCACCGACGAGCGCCGCGCGCGTTGTTACTCCTTGCGGCTGCGCTGGCGTGTCTCGCGCGTCTTTCTTTGCTGCGTGACGGTATCGCGGATGCGGGGCGCCGGTATCACGGATGCGGGACTGGCGATTCGTGCGCTCGCCGGCGTGCGCTCACCCCCCCGCGCGCCTTCTTCCTCTCGCGTGGGACGGCAGCATCCCAGCCCCGTTTAGCGCCTGCTTTCGTCCACTGATGCGTCGTTTGCTGCTCAAAGCTGCGCTAGCGTGCCTCGCGCGTCTTTTTTATGCTGCGCGCCGGTATCGCGCGCGGGTACGGCGCGGGCACGACCATACGTGATGCGACCTCGGTGCGCCTTGTCGCACCACGCGCACCTTTTCTGCGTGCCGACCTTGCGCGCGCTGGCCTGAGCGTCGTGATTTAGCTGGTCTCGCGGGTGTGGGCTTGACCGTACGCGCGCGCGGTCGCAGGCACGGCTGGAGGCTGGCGGATAGTGCGGGCATGTAGATGCGTGCCGTCGCCCTGCGCGTCTTTCGTGCCCGCCGGCGCCTTGTGCGCCTCTTTCTTGTGCTGCGCGCCGGGACAGCAGGTGCGGGCTTGCACCCTCGCGCGGGCGCGGGCGCAGGCGTGGGCGCGGTTGCAGGCTGGAGACATGTGTTGCATGCGCTTGAATGCTGCGCAGTCGGTGGCGTGTGCCTGGGGATACACGCCGTCACCTCGCGCGCGCCTCTTTCTTCTGTTCTACCGGTCTCGCCGGTCAGAGCTTGACGATCCACCCGTGCGGTCGCTGATGTGGCTTTTATCGCGGCTGTGAACCGCGCTGGGGAATCTTGCGGTCGCCGCCTTGCGCTCGCCAATGCAATACGCATCCTCGCCCGTGCGCGCCTTCTTTGTGCCCCGCACCGGTGTCGCGGGTGCGTCTGCAGGTGCAGGTGCGGAGGGTGCGTTCGCGTGGGCCCGCAAGTGGCCCGGGCGCATGCGCTTTCAGTTAGGGATCGTATGGTCGTCGGACCATCCGTCGCGCAGTCGTGCGAGTTCACTGTACTCGTACTTGCGAGCCCGCCCTGGTTGTTCATGCGGTTGGGGGCAGCCGCGAGCGGGGCGGGTGGGTGGTGGCTGCGCGTGAGTGGGGCTCTGTGCGGGTGGGGGCAGCTGCTGGGCGGGTGCTTGGGGTGCGGCGAGTGAGGTGCAGCTCCCATTGAGGGGCAGGATATGCGCTGGGCTGCACTGCTTGGGTGGGTGCGTGCGGTGCACGATGCGGCGGACGCCGGGATCGTGCGGTGTCGTCGGCGTGCTGCAGGGTCTCGTAGGTGTGCGTGTGCACGGTGTCGGTGTGGGTATCCTGCGCGCTGTGCGGTGGCGTAGCCGTGCGTGCATGCATACAGAGTGTTTGCGATGTCGTGGGGCTTCGAGCCTGCGGGGTCGTTGTCGCGCGTGCGGGGAGCGGGTACGTCTCGTCGACGTGGAGGTGGGCGGAGCACGTCGAGGTCTTACTCACTACTATAATGTTCCTTACTTGCTAATATTCACTGTGTGACTCTCGTATCTGCTGTGACACATGTGACCGAAATGTCGACCACCATAACTTCAGTAAAGGGAAGGGCCCGCGCTGCGCTCAAGTGGCGGGCTCATCCTTTTTCATTTGCGCCCGAACCGTGACCCATATTTTGACCCATGTTTCTCGATGATGTTCACGCCTGGGTGAAACATTCAAATAAACGGAGCTGCCCTTTCTCTCCTAGTACTACTACCCATCTGGCAGCTCTGTAATGGACACAATCTATGCACCCATACGTCGCTTTCCTCCCGAAATCCTCGCTCACATATTCTCACTTCACTCAGAGACATTCGCGCCCGCATTCAGGGCGGCCATTCCCGACTCGACCCTTATGCGAGTTTGAAGCCGAGTTTGATCGCCTGCCGAACGTCCGGCTTTTGACGTTGTTCCGCGTGTGCGGACTGCGTCCTGCAAACCCCGCCCTGTGGTCCACCAAATCTCAACGGCGTACTCTGGAGCACCTCAACGCCCCGCAGCTACAATTTCAAGCGGCAGTTTGGGAAATTCCGGCCGTGATGACCTGCGGGTATTTCAACTCATACTTGTTCATATCATCTCTGAATGCGTGTCCTCCACGAAAAGCAATCATTGTATTATGCCAACTCCGGCCATTGAAAAATGAAGAAGCAAAATCATTTTCATTTGACCTTTGAAGCACGCACACAACTTATGGAGTTTCCAGTGTTGTTGAAGCTGAAGGGCCGGAGTCCATTGTTTGAATTAAATATGCGGCATTTCAGGTCAGTAGCCGGGCTGGCTTTTCCCATGCAGGATTGACGCCAGTGAAATATGGGGAAGAGAGTCCATGCTTTGCGCAGCTTGGATGAAGCGACTGCGACATGAGGGAAAGTTGACGCGCGAACTTGAACCATGCGCTTCCGCTCGAGGTGATTTTTTTAACCCGATGCGGTAGTCTCAATCAAATTCGAGCTTTACCACCACCCCTGGTGGTTGCATCTGGGCGTTGTTCATTATGGCATTGGTGGAGTCTCGGACCGCGCGGAGTTTGGATCGGCCATCATTTTTTTGGGCCGACGTCAGTTCAACCATAACTATTTGTGGCGATCTTCTTCGGTTCCGTGCTGTTAACAATGACCTGTTGGTACAGTTGGTAGTGCACCTGCTGACATATGCCCAGGCTAAAATGAGTCTTAGCGAGAGTCTCCAGTTCAATTCTGGGACAGGTCATCTCCATTTTTTATTTTCTTTACTTTTTATTTTTCCCCCGATAATAAATGGTCAAGAAAAAAGACCTTCCTAATTGGTGAATAGCAGAGTAAGCTTTTGAGCAGCCAGTCACGTACAATAACTGTAACGTGCTAAGGTAGCCCGTCCGGGTTAATAAATCAGAATGAGCTTATGCGGGACACCCCAGTTCGACTCTGGGATGGGTCATCCATGGGTCGCTTGCACATTTTTGTCCCTCGTTCTTACATTTTACTCAGAACCCTCCACTAGGTATTCCAGTTCAATTAATATAGCAGCACACATTTACCCATAAATTTATTCTGGTTCGATGTACATGGCAGAACGACTTGTTGGCGCACTCGGCAGCGCACCTATAATAACTCTGCAAGTTAGCCTCCGAAGACAGTATATGAGAGGCCCTAGTTCGACTCTGGGATGGGTCGTTCGTCCACTTTTTCCAAAGTTTTGGTCAGAGTCATTTCAGTCTGTTCAAAGCTGTATTCAAATGTAATTGATATAGCAGAAAGGCCTGTTAGCCCACTCGGCAGCGCACCCACAATAACTTAAGGTCGATATGATGTTATGTGGGAGGCCCCGACTCTGGGACAGGTTGACATTCTTTGTTTCAAAGCCTCCATCTTTTTCCCGTTTTATATTCAGAGCCTTCCGGGACTGGTGTATATATTCTGGTTCAACTAACAAGCCAGAAAGACCCGTTGGCGACTAGCAGCGCACCCACGATATCTAAACGTTCGGCATGCGCAAAGAATTATTTGGGAGGCCCCAGTTTGAGGTCATTCTGCGCTTTCTGCGGCCATTTTTTGTTCCAGGCTGTGTCATCTCATTTTAAGTCCAGAACCTCCGCTACATATCGTAGTTGACTCTTCCATGGATCCGGAGCGGCAATCTTGATCGCTTTTCTTTGCCGAAGGACTCGCTGGTGAACCGGGCATTATTATTTGATTTAAACATGCGAATAATGATCTGTTGGCAAGGTCGGCAGTGCACCGACAATAAAGGGTTCCTGAGACCATTATATCAATACGCGGGAGACCCTAGTTCAACTCTGGGACAGGACCGTGTCTTTGGTTCCGGCTCATATCACTATAAATTCAAAGCCTTCAGCTACCTAATATATTGCGGTCCTATTACCAGAATCGAATCCTCATTTTGGTTGTTGGATCTATCCTTGTGACTTGAACCACGAGCTGTGTTAAACCGACACTCCGTTCCTGATTATAGATCTTCTGAAACTGAACTGCATCCTCTGCGCAAGCTTGGGGCTTCCGAAGCTTGAAATATCAAGAAATCAAGTTACCTGGAGTTAACAAAAACATCGTTTCTCAAATCTGGAACAGACCATTCAACCTCACATATATCGGCTAATAACAGACAAGAGAAATGCAATCGAACTCCAACATCTAAAACTGTTGTTGAAGAACCAGTTTCAATTATACGCTTATTTAGACTTCGTTCTTCCGGAACGTGTTCAGTACGAAGTCTTTGAGATCCCATCCTTGACTGCCATCCATGAATTCCGCGCCTGGAGGTCATTGAACCATCTGTGCATCGGGTAATCAGTCCGCGGATGCGTGTAGAACAAAAACTGCCTACCTGGTGACGTTGGGGCTCTTGGTGGTCATAAGGTCACTGCCGGCCTTCTCCAACAGGGCGCCGTACGGAAGGTGGAACAAGTCGACGAGCGTCACTTCCTGTGGATATCCAAATGGATTATAAACGACGGGCTGCGATGGGACAGTGAATGTACACACGTCTCCGGCAAGGTACTTTTGCTTCCCAAGAATGGCCTCGTACACGTCGAGCTTCGCAGAAAGAGTCTTGAGGTTCTCCTCAAGATTGGCCTTGTTGGTCTCCATACCCATCATGCTGTAATTGACTCAGACCAGAGGCTCGGAACTAGCGACAGGCTTACGGTTTGAAAACGGCCTCACTGACCGCCCTCGAACTGAAGGGGTCGAAATTCGAGTATTCAGTAGATGCGGCCTGCTCGAAGAGAGCCTTTCCCTTGAGGTCTGTGGGGACGAGCTTCGGGCCTTGGTTGGCATACTTGTCCACGATGTAGCGACAGATGGCGCGACTTTCGTACAGAATGAAGCCGTCGTCATCCTAATCAGTACCTTCAGAAAGTGGCTGGAATTAAATAGGCAAAAGGCCGGCTCACGATGTATGGGACCTGCCCGAAGGGCTGGTGTGCTCTGAACTCGTTGGACTTGTGTTCGCCAGCCATAATATTTATACTTTGGAAAGTAAATGCGACCTTCTTTTCGATCAGGACAGTCGCAACACGCTTGGTGCAGGTGGAGTACGGGGAGCCAAATAGTTTGATGGTCATGGTTGTCTGGAAAAGGAGCGATGATGTAGATGAGGCGGATTAACCGCTACTTATATAAAAATGCTCGCAAGTTGAACTTTGATCTAAAGCGGGTTCAACGTCCTCATTTGATCGAAGATTCATTAATGTAATTACTCATAGCTCAAGACCGCCATTGGCAAGCATTGTTACGCGTTTTCACCAACTTACTAATCACGTCGTTACCAACTTGGGATGAATAATAGGCTTGAAGCTTATTATTCATTCAATAGGAAGCAGTGCTGTGTCCATCCTCCGTTCTCAATTAATGTGGCCGTCACGAAATGTCAGTGAACTATCTTAGCTGACATTATAGTCTAGCAGCAGCCGCAAGCGTGCAACCAAACGGGATGTGGAATACGTTTGTGAGCGTCGGCTCTTGCAGGGACGAATTTATTTGAACTGGGGAATAATCATGCATGCATGATGGTCCAGGTTTATCATACCAATAGGACAGCTGCGACTGCTCCATGGATGGATGGGAGGTGGATGCTGGGTAGACGTGTTTACGGCCAGAGTTCCGTTTAACCGGAAAATTAGACAATTGGCCTAATAGCCGCTACGGATGCCTGTGAACTGAATTCTCGTGAAGCTAGAATTTATAACTGTCCGGTTAAACGGTTGAACGGCGAAATCAAACTTGAATAAACAGTTTGATATTTTTGTAACTACAACAATGCAGAATTGAGTGTAAATCTCGGACATCGGCGTCGTTGCATTGACCTTCACACCGCAGTTATCTGCACGGCCAGACTATGTATCGTATGTATTCTGTGTTTTAGTTGTTTCAGGTTGAATTGGGTTCAACCCTATGAACCGGTATTAATACTTTATTTTCAATGAGAACAGTGGCGACCCGGCGACCATAGAGTTTTGCGGGATATTTTTCGGAAGCGTGGGGTAAAAAATAGGGGCTATTGTCCCATCGGAGCCAAATCAACCGGTTGGCGTGTCATACAATATGACGAAATTCGCTTGTAAGGAAATGATCAAGGACCTCGAGGCAGGAATATGTGCGGGAGAGAAGTGAGCAACTGTAAGAAGCCATTGGATTCGCTGTCTTGGGCAGAAAAAGATTTCTTGGCCAGGCGGAGTTGAGCGATGTTGCCGAACATCGAGTTCGCTTCATACATACGAGGCGGCACCGCTCAAGTTCAGAACCCGATAGCTTCAATTGTAGTTGCCCCTTGTGAAGTTTGGATTTTGACGCTGAAATATTCGGGTTCAATTTTATATGGTAGAACGACCTGTTGGCGCACTCGGCAGCGCACCCCAATAAGTGAGCGGTTTTTAGTAAAATCCATTATGTGGGATGCCCCAGTTCGACTCTGAGAACCCTCCACTATTTATTATGGTTCGATTAATATGACAGAAAGACCCGTTGGCGCACTCGGCAGCGCACCCACTCTCAATTGCTTACTCGTCTGGCTTTCTGTGGGAGGCCCCAGTTCGACTCTGGGATGGGTCATCCAGGCTTTACTGTGCTCTTTTTTCTGCCCATTTTTCTAAAATTTGGACTCTATATTCTTGTTCGATTAGCGAGAGAGAATGACCTGTTAGCGCATTCGGCAGCAGCCTCTATCTGGACAAGAAGGTCATCATGTGGGACTCTGGGATGGGTCATGATCGATCATTCGATTGTGAGCCTCTCTTTTTTTATTCAGGGTCCTTTCGTTTCATTTTGTTGAAAGCCCAGCCTACATTGCGAAAAACCTGTTTGGGCAGATGGTAGCTCGCCCACTAGAAATTCGATCTCAGCCCGCACCTCTAACTTTTTTTATATTATTTCGGGACTTATAAATAAATCATCTCATTTTACTCAAGTGCACTCAATGTCATAATTCAACTTACACAGCAGAATGATCGTGTGGGTTCGACTCTGGGACAGGTCATCAGGAGAAAGTTGGTTTTTTTCCCCGCCAGTCACCACATATTACATTGAAAATGAACTAAAACGAGAACGCATCAGAAGACCTATTAGCGCAGTCGGAAGCGTGTCCGTGCCATCTATCCACGGTGGAAGTGACTTACGGGAGATCTGGGTTCGAACCCGGGATAGGTCGTATCGCTTTCATCTGTGTATTTTTTGGTGTCGTTTCGATTTCTTTTTCTTGTGTCGATTCCTTTCTTCCATGAGCTGCGACGACACACACGATTTACCAGCGCTGGATTTTGTTGTTAACTCGCCATGCACTGACGGCAGTTATGTACAGTATGTACATACACTATTACTATTAGGTATCTCGTCCCCGCTATTAATTAAAACCCGTATTAGAGTACCCACACCGATATCCCGAACGAAACCGCGGCCGCAGGCGTATTAAGTGTACCCGTAGTCGTCGCATACTCCCGCCCTCCCATTACTCCCCTTCAGCGTGAAAGCTCACGGCCGTTCGTGCGGCCACTCATAAGGAGGTCGTGATCGACAAGGCGGCGAGCGCAACGAGGAGAGCACACAAGCATCAGGAGGATCGCACAGCTAACAATGAAGGCGCAACGTTCGCTTCATGTTGAGCCCCCTTAGCCGGTTAACGACCTCGTCCATGCCCAGGCCCTGCGCCGCGCCGCCCCACTCGCTGCTCCACCCCTGGCGCGACTCGCACCGATACGTCGTGCTCGTCCCGGGGCCCACGCCGCCGCGCCCCCCGCCATTATTCCAATTGCCGCTCGGCGCCTCGGCAAACTCGAACGCGCGGGAGAGAAATCGCTCGGAGCGAGTGCTGCGCGTGGTGGTAGAAGGGTGCGCGGCGGTGGAGGTGTGCGAGTGCGGTAAGGAGGGTACGCGGAGCCACTCGTCCTCGCGCTCGTCGTAGGTGACGCGCGTGGGGAAGGGCTGGTCGTGCTGGTCGTGCGGGAACGCGGGGGAGGGTGCGCGCAAGCCCACGCGCTCGGCGCTGCTGGAGAATGCGGTGGCGTAGTAGGCGGGCGAGGGCGCGCGGCTGCTGGACGGGGCGGGGGACGGCGTGCGGGAGGAGTAGAAGGCGGGCGAGCGCGGGGGGGAGAGCGACGCGGTGGAGCCCTGCGCACGCAGTATGGAGGAGCCACGCGAGGAGCGCGGGGTGTGTGGCGACGGCGTCGGCGCTCGCGCGGGAGTGGGGCTGCGCCTGGAAGACGAGCTCGGGGGCGACGTTCTGCCCCAGGGTGCGGGTGAGCTTGGCCATCTTGGGGTGTTGGGGCCGAAGGCGGGGGAGAGGGGAGAGGGGAGGGCGTTGATGGGGCGGGAACCAGGCGGGGAGGAGGAGGGCAGTAGGAGGACCGTCTTGTCAATGTGGACAGGGCGAGGCCCGCGACGGGGACTACGAGCACGAAGACGATGCGCAACGACTCGGTGTACGTGTAAACAGCCGTGGGTGAGCGCCAGCGCATCGGGCGCGTTCTTGAAGAGGTACCTGCCGTCCTCCGTCGCGAGGGTGGGCTGTGCGATGGTGTAGCCGAAGAAGTGAGCGAACGTGGTCATGGTGGCGTGCGCGATGAGCTTTGGCGCGTCCATTGAGCCGACATTCGGGGTGCAAGGATGAGCTGCATACGTGTGGAAGGGAGGTGGCTGGTCGGTCGTCAATGACAAGTAAAACCAAAAAGAATTACGCCGTCAGTAGCAGCGAGAGAAGAGAAGTAGAGCGACGAAAGAGGAGAAAATGGTTTCATTATGGCATTCGGACCGCGCGGAGTTTGGATCGGCCATCATTTCTTCCGTTCAACCATAACTATTTGCAGGGAGCTTCTTCGGTTTCGAACTGTTAACGACGACCTGTTGGCACAGTTGGTAGTGCGCTCGCTGACATATGGCCAGGCTAAAATGAGTCTTAGCGAGAGTCCCCAGTTCAATTCTGGGATAGGTCATATCCATTCTCGGCGTATTTTCTTGACTTTTTTTTTTTTCCCGGTAAATAAACGGTCAGGAAAAAAGACCGTGAATAGTAGAGTAAGCTTTGAGCAGCCAGTCATGTACAATAACTGTAGCGTGCTAAGGTAGTCCGCCCGCAGAATAAATCAGAGCAAGCTTATGCAGGACGCCCCAGTTCGACTCTGGGATGGGTCATCCATGGGTCGCTTGCACATTTTTGTCCCTCGTTGTCACATTTTATTCAGAACCCTCCCCTAGTATTCCAGTTCAATTAATATACCAGAAAACTGTTGGCGCACTCGGGAGCAGACATTTACTCACAAATTTATTACGGTTCAATTTACATGGTAGAACGACCTGTTGGCGCACTCGGCAGCGCACCCACAATAACTACTGAGCTGCCGAAGACAGTATGTGGGAGGCCCCAGCTCGACTCTGGGACGGGTCATGCGTCCACTTTTTCCAAAGTTTTGGTCAGAGTCATTGTATTTTTTGTTCAAAGCTGTATTCAAATTTAATTGATATATGTAGCAGAAAGACCTGTTAGCCCACTCGGCAGCGCACCCACAATAACTTAGGTCGATATGAGGTTATGTGGGAGGCCCCGACTCTGGGACAAGTTGATATTCTTTGTTTCAAAGCCTCTACGTTTTATATTAAGAGCCTTCCGTGACTGGTGTATACATTCTGGTTCAACTAATAAGCCAAAAAGACCTTTTGGCGCACTCGGCGACGCACCCACAACAACTGGATATTTCGGTGCGAAATTATGTGGGAGGTGGCAGTTCGACTCTGGGATGGGTCATGCTGCGGATCTCCTCGCGCATTTTAGACCGGCAGAAAGACCTGTTGGCGCATTCGGCAGCGCACCCACAATAATTGGGGGTGTTCCGTCAAAAAGTTATGTGGGAGACCCCAGTTCGACTCTGGGACAGGTCATTCATACTTTCGTCGTTTGCAAACATTCTTTTCCGGCTGGCTCGTTTTACTCTGCTACATATCGTAGTTCAATTAATAGATGGAAAGACCTGGTGGGGCAAATGGTAGCCCGCCCATTAGAAATTCTCCGGGAGGCCAAAGTTCGGTCATTCTGCGCTTTCTGCGGCCATGTTTTTGATCCGGGTTACGAGTCTTATTTATAGGAACTCGTTCTTGGCAATCTCGACCAGCCAAAAAATCGTCACCTTCGGATTGATTGTGAAACGTGATGTGAACATATTGCCTTTCTCGGTCCTCGGTTTTCGGTGAAATCACGTAACCGCAATCGGCAATCTCTACGACTGAGCTCGTTTATTATTATACGGGGCGGAGCAGACATTTTGCTGCTGTTTTTTGGGATCTTTCATCTTGAAACCCAAGCGGAGTGCTCAGCACTTACAAAAGATGGACAAAAAATGGTCCTTCATTTGCAACACCGAACGGTTGAACGATCAACACATCATCGAAATCTGTCGCGCCGTCACAGGCACCGCGGTTGACCCTCTTCATTTTCACGAAGAAATTGAATTCAACCCGTTAAAAGACAAACCCGCTGGCGACATCTCCTACAACGAATGGCATCCATGAACCACTCTTTCGGCCAAAGACAGAGATCCAGCTCTTTTAGACAGTGCAGTGACAAAAAAGAGGAAAGTTGTGAACACCTTACCCGCCAGCTCGAGTGCCAAGCGCGTCAAACGGCCGACTGCAGTTGACAATGAGTCTGGTGCTAGTAATCCCACAGCGCAAGCTCGCAATCCCCTAGGTCTAATTTGGGACAGTCGCAACTATAGTTGCGGTTACGACAGTCTTTTCGTGCCTTTGTCCTTTATCCTGCATGACAACCCTCTTGCCTGGCGCTCAAAATTCACGCAAATGAATGCCCTGCTCCGTCTATGGATCCTCAACTTACAAACGACGCCGGATCAACCAGAAACCGCCCGAGACAATGTCCGACAAATCCTGCATCACTAAAATCCTGCAGAATTTCCAATCTGAGCGAGCGGCCTCAGATTAGATGCCTTGTATATGGCCGTAACGAACAGGCAAAGCTACACTAACGCAGTTTCCATGTGCCCTAGTTTTCTTCAAAAATCCCTCGTGAAATCAGTGTGCTCAACCAAATAGTGGATGTTGGAAATGTCCGTGCTCTTCACGCCGTACATCCAGGTGGAGTACATACCTTTATCGGCATGGTTTGGCCACCTGTTCTCGCAACCGAGCTCTAGCTGCCCAGGATGTGCTTCAAGCGGAATAGCAATGCGAACCAGGAGAGTGACCGTGGTGCGACATCCCCCCCCAGACTATTCATCACTGTGGAAGTCCAGAACTTAATTCTAGATGAATACCTCGTCTTCGCGACTCAAGTCGGCATCAAGCGCATGGGCCTCCGTGGTCTTTGTGTGTTTCACTCAAACAACTCCAGAAATTGGTCACTTCACCTCCGTCTCCGTGAATAGGACCGGAAAGACCTGGCATCAGCACTCGCCGTTGTTACACCGAAGGGCCGTTGTTGCGCGATATTCCTCCGCTTAATCTACACAAACATGGGGCTAGAAATCTATGCACCGCCATCTATGCAGATGTGGCCCCGGGGTTGGGGGGGGGCGTGGAGATGTGGGTTCTGTTTAGCTATGCACTCACCTTCTCCTACTCCAATCAATATTTTACTAATAACTTCATCCCACATTAACCGAGTGAAAATTTGAAGAGAAGAATGCATTCAAAACACATCGTTTGTGGATCAGACCTTAAATCGGACTTATCCGGAGTTTTAAAAAGGAAATGGACTCGTACTGCCATGCGTAAGCAATGGCCTACAGACCACGTTGTGTCATCCTATGTGAAGTTTAGAACCCTGCACTACATATCGTAGTTCAGTTAATATGAGGGAGGGAGGACCTGTTGGCGCGCTCGGCACCGTACCCACCCACAATAGCTGTGTTTTCTGGTCTTATGTGGGAGACTCTGGGACAGGTCATTGATCCGCTTTTCACACGTGTTTGGTCCCCATCGTTTCCTTTTACTCAGAGCCATGTGCTGTATATTGTATTTATGTTATGTCGGCGACTCGACTCTGGGATGGGCCATGTTGTAGCTTCTTTTTTATTATTATTATCATTTCATTTAAATTCAAACCGTCCACTAGATATAATCGTTCAATTAGGATACCAAAATGACCTGTTGGCGCACTCGGCAGCGCAGCCACAATAATTTCGACTTGGGTAATAAATTCATGTGGGAGGTCCCAGTTTGATTCTGGGAGAGGTCATTCATCATTTGGATCTGCCTTCTTTTTTGGGTTAAATTCATAGTGTTGCGCTGTTGGTTATATTGACAATATAGAAAGACTCATTAGGCAGCGGGAAGCGCGAACGTTCGTGCTCGCTAGCTTTCGAGAGGCCCTAGTCTGAGGGACGTCCTCAACCTTTTATTATTATGATTATTGAAGCCTTCCGCCGCCACATATTCTGCTTTTGAACTGAGGTGAGATTAAGACCTGTTAGCGTAATGGGAAGCGTGCCCACTTCAATTTGTTAAGGATTTGTACTTATGCGGGAGGCCCCGGTTCGAACCCGGGATAGGACATCGCCATTTTCCACTTTCTTTTTGAATTTTTTAAGTCGCTCAAAGTCTTTTGCTAGCATGTTACGTACGGCCTTCAAACAACTATGGTATTTCTGTCAGGACCTGTTAGCGCAGCTGGAAGCGCGTCCGTGCAATTTTGAGGGCTTTTTTTTCGAATTCTGTGGGAGGATTGCCTTGATCCGCTTTTTTTTTTTTTTTCGCGTTGTGTTGTTACGATTTTCTTCTTTTCTCTTTGTCCGAATTTCGTTTCATTTTCATTTTTGTTCTACTGCGGGATGCAGCTGGGCGACTCAACAACACGTTAACATTGGACTTTGAGCATATCTCGCCAATTCAGACTAGCAAACTCCGGCCGAACGACCTATTTATTACAACAGCAACAACTACAACAGCTAAAACCGCAACCGGTAACCAACCGTACGTATTACCTATCGCGCCCGTATTAGTTAGAGGTACCCCGCACGCGTACCATCCCGTGTACCATAGACCCATTCTCGCCACGGCCGCTCGTCTTCATCTGGAGCCCCCGCAGCCGGCTGACAGCCTCGTCCATGCCCACGCTCTGCGCCGCACCGCTCTACTCGCCGCTGCACCCCTGGCGCGACTCGCGCTGGTACGTCCCGCGCCGCCCCTCCGGCTCGACGTGGCGTTCCAATCGCAGTCGTGCCGATGCTGCTGAAGAACTGGGCGAACGTGGCTATGCCGGTGGCTTGCGCGATGAGCTTCGGCGCGCTTTTGAGCTCGACTGTAGTATGAGGAAAAGACCTGTTGGCGCACTCGGCGGCGCACCCACATTAACTGACTGTTCTTTGATGGCTTGCATTACCCAGTTCGGCTCTGGGACAGGTCATTCGATATGTTGCACACCCATTTTTTTGTCCGGCTCGTTCATCTGCTACTTACCAGCATAACTACCGTGTGTATTCAGGTAAATTAATATAAGGGAAAGACCTGTTGGCGTACTCGGCAGGGCACCCACAATAATTGCGTGTTAAGTTAACTCCTATGTGGGAGGCCCCAGTTCAACTCTGGGATGGGATGGGTCATAGTTCATCAAAAGTTTGCGAACGCTTTTTGTTCTGGTACATTTTTATTTATAATATCGTGTTCACTTTGGGCTCGTTTGATTGGGAGGGTATATACACGGCCGAGAGAGAGATGCTGGACGGATGGATGAATATAGGAGAGTGCTATTTATTCATTGAGCGGGGAGCAACTATTTATCCATTTGGAAGGGTGGGGATTGATACTTGGGGTAAATTGCACGCAGTGCGGATCAAGCAGCGGGAGTAAGTATGCATGTATGTAGGTGTAAATATCCACTGACAAAGATAGACGGGTGCCGGAAGCGTATGGCGGTCTTTGACCGTTGACGCACGCTTTAAATGAGGAGCATGCCCGGTCGTCTGGTGTGGAATCCCTTGTTCAGGAAGAGGAGGAATTGGAGGACAGGAAAATCGATCTCAGATGCGGACGCGCACTGTTTTCAGCGCAAGCTTGGGGAGGGTCCTTGCATGGTTTTCGGGTTTTCGAGGAAACAGTGGGGTGGTACGAGGAAGAGCACGACATCGCGATCGGCGGATGAAACTGACATAAGAAAGAATAGATTCGCACTTGAGAGGCAGACGTTCCCGCAAGGCGTTTTGTGGCGGCTATCGGGGCTGTAGCGTGGGGAGAGGGATTTCCAGACGAATGTGTATCGCGCAAGAGCCCTTCTTCCAACCTTCTTCCTCAGTCGCATGATAAAAAACAAGAGAAGAAGAGACGAATGACAGGATCACACAAGGGGGCCCAAGGATAAGAACCGATCATATCACCTTGGGGGGGGGGGGGGGGTCCAGCGGACCCCCTGAAAAAAAAATTGTATACAAGTTTTTTTTTCGTCTGGAGAGCTCAAATCAGCGGTAAATAGCATACAACCTACTGCGTTGTATTCCAGGAGTCATTGAGAGTAATATACGGGCTCCTACAAGCATATTCACCCATAAAGGAGTTGTTTGGCCAAAGTTTGGCAGTAGATCAGATCAAACATACATCAATTATGTCACTTCGGCACCACCCGGATCGTAACAATTTGTGGCGATGGTGAGGCGGAGGCACTAGTAAAACAGTTACAGACTGGATTTATCGCAGGAGGCTGTAGTTTGGACAAAAGTATTGTGCTGGTCGGGTAATATAACTCACTTATGGAAGATGACATTGAATGCACATCAAACTTAAAAGAATTGGCGGGCTGTGGGTGGGATGCTGCGGGATGCAACACCAGAAGAGAGTGTAGCGGTCATTGGACATTAGTTTCATGCCGCTATGTGCTTGCAGACAGCCTCGGGTTCCTGTTAATGTATTGTGGCGGATTTTTTTGTGAACGTAGTTCGTCTTTAAAAGGAAATTTGATGGCACGTGATGGCTCTGCTAGGGGGGGGGGTCCTTGGGACCCCCCGAAAAAAAAAATATGTAGGTGATATATATTTTTCGCATTTTTGGGCCCCCTTGGGATCACATTTTGCAGCACCGTTTTTCTTCGACACGGATGTTGCCATAGATATTGCGGAGCCGGGCTTCGCCCAGGTTCGATGCTAGAAGTCGTACATAGACGAGTGGAAGAATGAAGCGTTGAAGATGACCGACTGTGATCTCATCAAATCATCCGGTCTTTTCCGATTCCCCACTTGGCCAGCTTTTCGAAGTCCGGAATCGTCTCCTCCGAGTCCTTGATCTGGCACTCCTTCCGTCTTGTTTTCGCCGCTTTCTGAATTCTACCATGACTGCGCCGGCGGATGCGGCGTTTGTGCCACTCCTTCCTCGTGCCCGACGCCGATGTCTCCCAGTCGGGCGCCTTGCCCTCTTGCCACCACAGAGCTTGCCCACCATCGGGTCCCGCTTCGTTCTCGCTCGTGTACGAACGTACGGACGATCACGCCACCCCGCAAAGCCACTGCCTGCTGAGCTCCCCCACGTCCTCCTTGAAACATCTCCAGCCAGCACCCTTTCGTCGTCGCCGTACTCTCCACGCCGAGCATCATTATCACAGCCCGCCACTGCGCAGGCCATCGCACTGCCCCCAGCACCATTCTGCGGCTACTCGCACACCCGCGCCGGCTGAGATGCGCACCAACTCCATTCACCTCTTTCCCCGCACCCACTACGCTCGCTCGCCGTCGCCGATCTTCCCAGTGTTGCCCCCGGCGCCTACTCCTCCTTCGACACTCCCGCCGTGATTGTGTCCCGCACGCGCCGCGCTTCGTACTGCGCCTGGAGAATCGCCGAGTCGTAGATTCGTCGCCACCGCCACCATAGATCAAATCCAAGCGACCCGACACCCCATCGCCTCCTTCGACGCCACTCGACACCCTTACTTCGCGGATTCGCCGTATGCCACCTCCCGCGCCGCGCCCCACGTCGCGCGCCAGCACCTACCGAACGTCCCGCTCCGCCTCCCTCGATACCTCGCGCCCCTTGTGCTCCCCGTCCGCAGATCTCATGTACCACGCCCATGGACGACCCCCTTCGCCACCAATACGACGCGCATCTGCAGCGCAGCGGCTTGTTCCCCGTCCCGTTTAGCGCGCGCGCAGGGTCTGCGACCTGGGACGGGTAGGAACCCGATGCTGACTTTGGAAGATTGCCCCGGTATTGCCGCCGCCGTACTCTTCGTACCCACCCGCGCGCCTCCCCGACACTCTTCGTTCGTCTTGACGACCATCGCTCGCCCGACCACGAAGTCGTTTACAGGCTTCTTCTCGCGCTTTCTGTGCGCTCCTGCCGCGCCTACTGGAGTCTGGAATACTGTGTTAAAGAAGAGTGGAGAGATTTGTCTACCTGGCAGGGGTTGGGAGCTTCGTCAGTGGCGCCGGCTTCGAGCTCGACTCTGTCCCTCGCGGCGGAGGGATCTCTTGGTAACGGGGCGAGGACACTACCCGCGAGGGCGAGCTTTGGACGGCAGCTCCGTCCGGGGTGGCGAGAAATGCTGCGTTGCGCGGTTCCGAGAGACGGCTGACCTCATTGTGGCAGCTCCATCCTCTTGCTGCGCGCGCGCTGTTGTTACTCCGTTTCTTGTGGTCGAGGCTGCGCGCAGACGGCTCAGCTCCCGCCGGACAAGCAAGAGATCTGGGCCCCGCGCCTCGTGAGCGCATGGTTAAGCCAAGCCAGGCTGCTACCGGTCAGCCCCTTCTGAGCGTCCAGCAGGCAGAGATAGCGAGGGCGGGAGACACGGGACATATGCATAATGCAGGTACGCCCAGCTCCTCTGATGCCTCCGCCTGATCTACATACTGATCATCCGGTATCGACCAGAGCTTCTACGCGATTTGGCGCGATTCCGCTAGCGCCTCCTCCCATAAGCGATTTTTCGGACGTCGTGCTTCTCGCTCACACGCCGCTGCCCGACGATGCGGTATGGGGAGGCCTACTGGGACCTGAGCACGGTGGGGAATTACCGAGAATCGGGCGTCAAGGCGGGTACGTCCTGGCGATTCTCACCTTCGGCTTGGTACTCATCTTCTCTCACACAGCGCGCCTGTTCCCGTGTGTGAGGCTCGGTGTTAGCGGGGACGACGCCTCTTTCGCTTGGGCATCAGGTGGGATACTGGGGGATTGTGATGCCCTAATTTAGCGGGCTGAGGAAGCCTTGTCGGCCAGCGCTCAGATCGCGGGACGAGCGTATTGTGTGGGGGAGCTCGATGGGTACATCTATTTGGCTGTCGTTTCTTTGTGTACTTACCTCCAGTCGCAGATCTACATTTTCCGATCATTCCCTCTTTCGTTTCTTTACCTTCTCCTGCAATCGCGCACTTCGGCTCATCTTTCTTTACTTCTTCTCCTCACTGCGTCACATACATGTCTCTGTATTTTCTAATGATAGATATGTGACCCATCGTTTCATGCTATCCACCTATCCGTAGACGCCCCAACCATGGGCGTGCGCTGTTAACCACCCGGTTCTTGAGTCTGTTCCACTCTCACAGCGATTTTTGTAGGCGATATGAATTGACAACACCTTT